ACGACGCTCTTCCGATCTCCCCAAAACCCCAAAACCCCACATTGATGGAATCCCAAAGATATAGAGAAAAGTGAATATATTTGATTAAAAATAATAGATTTTTGGACAAAGTTTAGTTTATTCCAGTCATTAGTTCAATAGCTATTACCATTTCTATCTCAGATTTCTATCTGAGACATATTGAATGGTTTCATTTATCGCATTTTATACCTTGTTCAAGGATGCCTTATGGCGTCGTAGCACCTAAACTAACTTCTGCATCACATAGAACCCATAATTGTTCTTGATAAGACTCTTCATTACTTCAGTATCGCATAATTGTTTCATGAATCTCTCCACTGTATCATACTCAGCCTTTTCTAAAATTTTCTCAATTACGTTAGATGAGAACTTTTAAACTGATAGCTACATTAAATGAGGTTCGAGTTTGTCAAAAATCTATTAGCAATATGGCAGATCCCATTTCTAAAAATTAATAAAAAGAAATATATATATTACCTCAAGAGCTTGCTGGACAGCATAGTTTCCATAAGGACTTTATACAAGCTCCACCACATTCTCGCTTAGTTTCTCGCCTAGAGCAATTTTTTTTTCGTGACCTTAAACCTTACTAATAATTTTCTTGATAACACAAAGACCATTTTAGTCCATGGAGAGCTCAATTAGATTCTTGAGAACAGGAGAGAATATAAAATCAATGTTTTCCTCCTTTAGGCAAAGTAAAACCTTTTGTAAAACATGAGTACCATTTGTATCGAAGGCCAATTCTACAATATGGGTCTTTATACCTTATTTTAGTTCCTCCTCTTCATCTGGCATGTTTATCATCTCAATTAAGCATTACATTGAGTGAGTTCCTTTCTTATCACAGGAAATCTCAAGTATGTGAGGTCTCAATACATTTAAAATTCTGAGTCTTTAAGCTGAACTTGAACTCTACATGAGTTTCTAGCAAAAGTAATTTCCATATTAATCTGCCATTAACTAATGAAGATGGTAGAGACTCTCCTCAATTGCAAAGCCTACAAAGTCGGGGGATGCCTTTGCTAATAGTTTCTGTAATTATTTCGATCCATATTACTATCTGGCCATCTCAACAATTTGACCCTTTAACTCACTTTATAGCTATTGGCTTTCCTCATTTAAGTCAGCGGAACTATCTAATTCTCTAGAGCTAGAAGATCCCTTACTGTAGCTACTTCTGAGTTCTTATGAAGAATTCTTCGAGTTTTAAGAGTTTTTGGAACTCTTTGTACTCTTTTTATTAGTATCTTTTGAGTCCTTCTTTCTTCTTGCTACTTTTGGGTTTAAAAAATTATTCTATTGCTGATTTGAACTTTAATTCAAGTCGTTTAAGATATTCTGTGCTGATTAATTAGACAGCTCACTTGATCTTCGCTGATTAATATCTTAGTCAGAGGATTATTGTCTAACTCCGACGTTATTAAGATGATTCATTAAGCTCTCATCGTCCATAACCTCAAGTCTATCTGTAGTGGCACTTCTATTGACTCCGTTAGTATTTTCTTCAGTTTCATTTTCTTATAAACTGCAAATCTCAATACCAAATTTTGTTCTTTCTATTCTATATGGTGCTTTTTCCTTCATTGTCATAGACTTGAATAACTATTTGCTTGAACCTTCACCTTTTTCCTCCTCTGTGTTGTCAATAGAAGAATTAGAATTGTCGAAACTATTATTGTGACTGTTAGTTTTATGATGAGAATTATTTATCTTCAAAAAGGAGTCCTGCTAATCAATATTACTATTCATAGGGGAAACAGCATTGAGATTATTTTAGCCTATTGCTAGCTCATTCATTTGGGCTACTAAATTACCTTAAGCTGATCCTTGGTTTCCTTAGAATATCTAATGAAGTGATGAACTGCTGGTAGTAATTTAAAACTTTTAGTGCTCTTCAGTGGGACTTTGAGGTTATTTTAAAAGTTAGATGAGAGCTGGGTTAATCTGAATAAGTCTCTAAGTCTCCTGTTTAAGAATTTCAAAGTCGTTAAGCGAAATTATAAAGCTCATATATAAATTCCTAATGAGGTGAGACTGTGAAACAGATGGAGGAGTTACTTAAGCTTAAGCATCAATCTACTAGGTATATTGCTAATCTGAAAATAGAGTATAATGAAAATTTAGATGTAAAGTTGGTTCTCTCTAGTTTTGCATGTTAATTACAAATTAATCTTGAGTTTTAGCTTAGAGAGTGATTGTAACATTCTTCTCATTGTGAGAAAGCATGTCGATAAAATTTATCTGACCTTAAATAACATTATTAGTCAACGGTTTTTATGGTAAATTAGCCAGTTTTATTTAGAATTAAGGATCTAGTGGATTTAGTTAATCTCTTATTGCCTAAGGATCTCTTAAAAAATCCCACTTCAAGTTTACTATTGCAATATTAAAAGGAACACTGGTTGAGCTGCAGAGGAGTTTATTGAATGTAATAAGATGCTTATTTCTGTCAATAAAGTAGTTAGGTGATTAGTTCTGTAGTTGAAATACGGTAGTCAAAGTCATAGGATGCAAGAGCTAGAAGTCAAAGATCAACATATCTGGTGTAAGCTGAACTAATTAAGATAACATAGGTCTTGGTATTGGATTAACCTAATTTTAGTAGTTCGCCATTTGCAAGCATCTTAAGTGAAAATATTAAGGTACTTATTACATAGGAACATCTATAGTAGCATTTTGTTCATTTGGCTGAATGACTTGATTGCAATGTTTACAGATTTTAACATTCTAGGGTACGAATTGGTTTTGCATATTAAATACTTAGCTTTGTGAAAATCCATTTGGATTCTATTATTGAAAATCTTATAATTAAGCATGCATATTATTCGTGACACCAAAGGTATTTCCAGAATTAAATCTCAATAAATTTGAGCTGCTTGTTTTTTATGGATTCTAATGAAACTAAGGGTTTGAGAACAGTGATTGACTATCATTCGTATTACCATTAGAGTCAATCTCATCTGTTATAAAATCAGGCAAAAAGTATCGAACGTTTTCTTCACTTTATTTGTTTGAAACAGGTTACTTTTATTAATTTGTCTGGAATCCAGGAGGAGCATTAAAACTTAGAGTCTAGTTTTAATGATAGCCTAGACTGGTTGGAGTAAAACTGCCACCAAGATTTTGATAGTTCAAACCCTAATCATTATTTTAGCCTCCAATTATTCTTTAAGGTTATACCCATTGCTATTGATTCTGAATTTACTAACTGGTTGCTCCGAATCCTGCATCTTGTCCCATAATTCCACCCATTGGAGATTATATGATTCCTAGGTTTTGTGAAGGTGCATTGATTTGGAATTAGTAGTTATTATACTAGGTCCCCGGCTAATACTATGATTAGTTATGTGACATATTTGGAACAAAAGATGCGCTACCAAGTCTGCTCATATCTTGATATTGCTAATTTATCATTTAGAGCTATTATTGCTGTGGTTGATAAAAAGCATTGCTATTTTACGTGACACCCTGCATGTAGATTTAGGAGTTGGCCTACTGATTGGGTATGAAATTAAGATTTTGATTTAAATTAGAAGTGGGATTGGTATTATCTGGAATCTTATTTTGCATATTCTACTCAAAATTTTAAGTAATATTATTTCAACTTAATTATTATTTTTACTATTCAGAGCAATGTACTTCTTGAAAATGCTTTCTTACATACCATGCTGGGGTTTTGGGGTTTTGGGGTTTTGGGG